ACTCAGCCACCAATCCGTATATGGAATTCGAACTGGCTCCAGTTACGAATTCCATATACGGATTGGTGGCTGAGTGTTTCCAAGTCCGCCTGGATTGTATGTACTGTTGCAGGTCTTCAGCTGACCATCGAGCTGGCAACACTATGCGTGGCACGGTGCATGGGTTACAGCCAGCTGTGAGATTTGAGTGTCGGGTGTCCCGGTGACGCTGGGGACGTCAATGAGCACCTCATTTCCAAGTTTCTTCATGAGTCGCCTTGCATTATTACAACTATTCTTCAACCAGTTTTCATGATTCCATACTCCCAATTGCACGGAAAATATCATGGCTCATTATCGAACTATTCTTCTCACATTATATGGCTAATCATCACTCGAATGATAATACATGACATCTAGTAAGAAAAGCACACTTTAGTGCATTCGAAACAGTGATCAAAGAAAATCACAAATATGGTTGTTGGTTAGAGTTCAAGTTTAACATGTCATTCATTATTTTAATATCACACGATTTCAAGGCTTAAACAACACGTAGTTGCCTAACGACCGTAGAACTGGAGTAACGTGAAAAGAAGTATGTCCTACTAGCATGCATAAAACAAATGCACCTCTTCATCCCGTCCTTTAGACAGGCAATGTGGGTAACAAGACACTTACCAATTCTAAATCTCGCTGGTTGAAAGGCAGCAAGTATTGAGGAAGACGAGGTTGTACGGTACTACTCTCGCGTTTCTCAACGCTATGTGTTGATGAAATTGGTTCGACAGGATTCGAACTAGCTTCCAATTTAACTTCCATACATTCAGACGTATTTCGATCGGCTGTCGGACTGAAACGACGTCGTCTTCGGGGTCGCCGGAAATGGCGAGAACCTGATGAACGAGGACTAAGGCCATCACAATCTCCACTATCGCTATGAACTTCCAATCGCATTCCTATCTCTGAATCCCGGCTACGGTTTTCTTCAGGCATATCAGGTACATCACTGGTGGAAGAATGATACCGGCGCCGTTTGCGCAAGGTCTGTTGCGGCGAAGCAACCACCGGAGGCTCGACGACCAATGACGAACCGGATTCTCCGATCACCTTTGACGCGCAAGCTCCGTTTTCAATGAGGGTGTCGGCAGATGGTTGGACAGAGGTAGTCTGACGAGTGACATTGGAATTCACCTCGTTTAACTCAGACGCTGTGGTTGGTACATCTTCCGAAACCACTCGACTGCCGTTCGACCGATTGGTCGGGAATAGTGCATGGGCCAAACGGGAGCGTCGAAGACGTAAAATATCCGGAGGCACTCGACTGAATGTGTACTTCAGGTGGGAAAGATCGTCCGGTTCTGACAGTGGATGCAACGGAGTCCAAACCTATGAAGTAGGAGAAGGAATAGAAAAAAAATACGATGCTTTTAGCACAGACACAATACACAACCTTATCAATGCAACACAAATGCACGAGACAAACATCAACTAAAAAATATTGCACATTGACCGGACTATAGGAAGCCATTCAGTCTGATGCCGATTTTTGTGCAGGTAACATCAAACAGACTGATGTAATCGTTTATATGGCGGGTCGATGCGAATAGGGAATAATGACTGTTACATNATGGCTGATAGTCACATATTCCTATGCAGGGGACTGTGATCAGGAAAGACCAATGATGTCTTTTAGAACCCAGCGTTGAGATGAGACCCGAAAACGGGAAAGAACTTTGTCCAGAGAAACTACTGCTCGATCTGAAAGCGACTTACGACTCAGTCGACCGCTTCAAGTTCTGGTGTTGCCTCTACCTGAAGGGTGTGCCCGAGAAGTTTATTTCAATATTAAAATCCCTCTACAATAATAGCCGAAGCCGAGTCCGAGCTTGCGCCACTTTTTCACCCGAGTTCACCACGGAAAGTGGTGTTCGACAGGGTTGCCATCTCTCTCCGTCTCAATTCAACTTTATCACAGATTTCGTTCTTGAAACAGCTCCATCCTCGTACAACGACACTGGTATCGATTTATTCCCAGGTGGCAGACTGTCTGTTCTAGATTATGCAAACCACATTGTGCTACTAAGTGACGATCCAGGTAAGTTGCAAGCTTTTCTGGATAGTTTGAGTGCTAGTGTTGCCATGTTCGGTATGCGTTTTGCACCTTCAAAGTGTAAAATGCTACTACAAGATTGGGTTGATCCAGCGCCCAGTCTCACCCTAACTGGGGAAGTAGTAGAGAAAGTGGACAAGCTGTGTTATCTGGTCAGCTATATTTCACCTGGCAGACGCATCACAGATGAAGTGTTGGCGCCCATACAAAAGGCTCAATCGGTATTTGCCAACTTCAGACATCTGTGGTGCCGTCGCGACATCCGGTTGTCTATGGAGGATCGTGTATATGCTGTAGCAGTTCGGTCAGTGCTTCTTTACGATGCAGAAACTTGGTCATTACAGGAACAGGATAAAGATAGATTGCCGGTGTTCGAACATCGATGTCTACGTCGCATTGCACCAGTCTGGTGGGGAAACCGGACTAGCAATCCTGAGGTTAAGCGCTAAATTGTAGGTAACTGCGGTCGCCCACTGGAGCAAGTGGTCGACTTCCATAGATTACGTTGGTTGGGACATATGTTACGCATGTCACCAGATAGGTTTCCGCGGCGAGCAATGCTTGGTGAGGCAGGTAGCGGTTGAAGAAAAGCCAAGGGCGATCAAACTAAGACCTGGCATGAGGGTACTAGAACCCTGACCAGGAGACTGACTCACAGAGGTCCCGTTGGGCTCCCTGAGATCATGGTCACCGATGGTTAGAGACAATGAGTGACATGGCTGGGTGTCGCTCATGCATTTAATCATTATTCTTGTAACATCAGTCTATATAAATTCGCTATCTGAATCTACTCTCAACATTCTAATCTTCATTCTGCTCTCTTATTCAAATGAGCAGCCAAACGACACCAACCAAAACCGGCGCACGAAAGTGTATGGTTAATAGTTGTAAGAGCTGAACTGAACTGCTCGTTTACGATAACCAAAAATCGAAGGACTAGAATTTACAGTGTGAAATCATATAGCCTCTTCGCTTTCGCATTTTACAACCATCAACCATACCTTTTCGTGTGCTGGTTTTGATTGCTGTCTTTTGGCTGCGCAGTTGGCTTGGTTAGGAGGAAAAAGACAGGAAAGTTGAAAGTAGTCGAATAGAAAAGATGAAGAATTTTAGTGAACTAAGCTTGAAAAGAAACTGAGAGGATACACGGGCGCCACTATTTGCGACAGTCACCCATATCACTCAATGTCTCTAACTACCGGTTGTGATGAGCCGGAGGCCCCCATCAAGGGAACCCAGTACGATCTATATGCGCAAGTTTCCCGGTCAGGGTTTTCATACTCTGAGGCCAAGTCTGAGTTTGACCGCTCAACGGTTTTTTCGCGCATCACCTGTCTCGGCGAGCAGCACGCTCGGTGGCAATCAATTTGGTGACATGCGTACCACATATCCCAACCAACGAAGAGTTGATGATAGAATCCGTCGCCATTAAGACCCCTCGGGACGCAGTGACCAGGCTGTATTGTCGTTCAAATACATTTCTTACGCTTCTGTCAAAGTAACTGACCTAAACAACATTCGCACATTCATAAACTATGCAAAAAGGTAGCGTTTGACTTCTTCCATGCAAAAGATATCTCATAGAGAAGAGCATAACCCTTTAGTCGTATGATAGGAATTTATTGACAGTCTGCAGCAACTACCAGCGTCAGTGATGCAGGTAAAAGTTGCTACCAAACTCAGCAGCCGGAAATCACCTATTCGAAACCTTACAAAAAAACTGATATTTCTGAGGGACCTCTGTTGGAGTCAATACATTCGAACCGTATTTAAATAATCGATAAAGACAGAAATTAGGAAAATAATTACCGTTCGACATGGAAAAAATGGACAAACCTTGAAGTCGAAATCCAGTCCGGCTGAGGCAAGGACCGGTAAAGTTGGATGGGATTCGATCACGTTGACTGCACCGTCAGAATCTGCATGCAACCACTGCACAATACCCTCAGATTCACGATCCCAAATATAGAAGAAGCCATCATCGCTTCCACTGACCACATATTCACTATTCGGACCGAAGAATGTGGCACTGACAACTAGCATGTGGTAAAAGAATGGGGTACACGTAACTGAATGAGTAATGTAAAAAGTTGAACTTATCATTGTTGTGGATGGATAGCGATTAGAGAGCTCAATTTCACCATCACTTGGATTACCGAAATGAACTAGTTTGTCGAAACGAAACCGATAGTTAAATGGACTGCTAGATGTTGTACGATTCAGTGGGATTAAATTGAGAAATCTATTAGTATAGCTACAGACAACAATTACGAATCACAACAATTATTTTGTTCTTTAGAAGAAACAAGAAATTAGAGCAGTAAAGCATAAATAATAGAAAAGACACATTTGAAGAGCATTTCCTTAATCTGATAAATTTGTTGTCTAAAAGAACTGCTCAAAAACAGGGATTCAGACTAGTTATTGTCAGGTCAAGTTAAGTCAAAAATCGCTTTATTCATCCTAATGTATGGATTCTCAGCTTCTTGCACTCCAGGAACATGTATCGTCGCATACAGTCACAAGAAAAAGAGAAAAAACAGCACTGTCAATTCAAAGAAATGTGGAGTAAAAAGTTTGAAAATGAATATCAGTTGTGTAGGAATTTCAAAAAGTCTTCTCTAACGGATACCTTTGAGCCAGAAATCTCGAAAGATAGGGGATGACGGACAAACGATAGACAGTGGTACGAGCCTACACCAGTTTATGACGACATCTTGTGAGAGAAGGGCATATGCATTGTTTAAGTTCTGTGTGTAATGGTTGAGTGGTGTCTGACAGAATATCGTTACAAAAGTTATCGCAAGAGGTAAAATGTTTATCAGCGATAAAGTTAAGCAAGTGCAAATAAGGAATACCGTTTGTGTGAGAAATAATTTTAATAAACCGGCGTAGAATTGTGTAATCTTTAGCTCTAAGGCCGGAAGTTAAAACTAGGGAGCAGTAGTGAAGATGAGTAACAACACGAGAATATACAAATCGAGTGAGTAAATACCGTGGAACTTTTAAAGAACGCAAGCGGGAAATAAAGAAACACAATCGTCGAATGTTTACAAAAGAAGAATTTAAATATGAAGTCCAGGTGAGATCTTGGCAGATATTGTAAAGAGTTTATTGGGGGAACAGGCTGGTTGTCAACATCGAGTGCAGAACAATTTCTTTCAAAAGAATGTAGCCGTTCTCCTGTGGCGAGCGAGAAGGTGACAGCGCTACATTTAGATGCATTGAAAGATAACTTGGAAGACGAAGACCATAAGTGTAAGGCAGAGAAGCCGATCGAGAAGCGGAAATCACCTTGGAATTTGGAACCAATTGTGACATCATCAGCATACTTCATGAGAAGAACATTTGGGTTAGTGGGAAGGTCACGAATATAGAAAGAGAAAATCAAGGGGGACAGAATTGCTCCGTGGAGCACCCCTGAGTTGACTGGTAAGGAGTCCGGTAAATAGTGATGATAATAATAGTAATAATACTGGTAAATAGAAATCCATACAAATATAAAAAACTTTTTCTGTTTGATAATTTTCTCAATTTATCAATATAGAAGGCAAATGTTGCGAGATGAGTTGACATTTTGTTTCACACTTGGTTTAATCTTCTCCTCATTGCTGATTAAGAAAACAAACCGACACATATACATCACATGAGGTTGAACAATTATGGTCACCGAACGTGTCCAAGCATCAAAAGATTACTAAACTCAGAAGTAGAAAGTTAATTCTACGGTAAATGAATTCATTGTATCAATAGCTTTTTCTGTGCGCATAAGTTTGGGTGATATAATCGAATTAACCAGTCTTTCATTGTTGGACAAAAGAGTAGCATTGCGATTACGTAATAACGGTTTGAAAGATGAATTTGGGTCAGCTATGTGTCTGGTTGTCATGACATGTTTTGACATTCTACTTCTACCGGGCAGTGGTGACCCGGTGGTAACGTCACCAAATTATCCCCCCCCCCCCCGGGGGGATGTGTGTTCGAATCCCACCACCACCGCCTGACTTTCCCCATTGTTTTCTGAACCGCAGCCCCGGTTGATTGGCCGGTTCCCCCGTTTCCTAAAAATTGTATCATTGTGTATTCAAGGGAAAAAAATTAGAAATATATTTCTTTCCTCCTATGTCATATTTACTTCCTTGTATTGAAAACATAAGGATACAATTTTCGCGAAGGAGAGGGTAGGGTGGAAGCGGTCAGTCAAATTGAATAGGCCCATGTGATATATATATATATATGTGCCTGTTTGTTTTTAGTTCGCGACTGAAAAGGTCAAACGAAACGTAAACTTATCTCGCGACATTTGTCCTTGTTTTCTCTATTGATGAAATGCATAAACGGGACTCAACAATTCAAATTTTCTCATTTGCGGAAATTGGGCATTAAAGTGCTCCTGATAATTTTATTGCTTTTATGGGTTTTCTAGGAAATTGGAAGCAATCTCAATCAAGGTATCAAAAGGACAATCGATGCTTTCACGTGAGTAATTGATTCAATTGAAAATCGGAAATTCGTCGTGTATGAAGCGTAAACTGAAAAGGTAGGACGTACTGGACAGCTGTTTCGACCTGGTTGATGATCGAACCCAGGTAGAACGCAAACATTCTACCCAGCCCAATCGAGTCATAACCTCGGAGACCATTGCGCAAATGAGAGAGATGTGTGGCCTGCAATAAATTCTCTAAGATGAGTTGTACTATATCGTGTAAATAGTACATGAAAAA